ACAGCCCCACAAAGTAGGCGCCCTCTTAGAAATAAAGAAACTGAAGATCAGAGAAGTGGCATCTGTGGGGCCCCATAGCTAGTGTCTGAGGTGGGGCTCTAACCCAGGTCATTCTGACTCTATTAGAATACAAAGTGTTGGAGGTGTTATTTCTTCTTGTCTTTGAATCCTCAGCGTTGGACACATGGTAAGCTTATAATACATACAAGTTGATTGAGTCCAAGTCCAGCATGGTATTCACTACAACACTCTCACAGGGGAAGGAGTTCTTAGTTCTTTTGGTGTCATAAACCCCTTTGACAATCTGGTGAAGCCTATGGGCTCCTCATAATAGTCTTTTTAAATGCTTAACAGAAGATATGCAAGTACAAAAAACCAATCCTATTGAAATAGTTATCAATTTTTTTTAAAGTTCTACTCTAAGAACTTTGTTCTAAGAATCTGAAATAATTTTCAGTAACACCTAGATTGTTGATGCATCAAGCAATAAAAACAGAATTGCAAAGCAAGCTAAGCTTGTTGTCCTCCCACCTCCTTTTTGAGTTGCTCTTCTAACTTCTTGAGTCTTTCTTTTCCCTGCCCTCTCAGAGGAAATTTGCTTTCCTCCAGATCTCATAGTATTCCCTGCAGAGGAAGTAAAAGGAGAGAATGGATAATTTTGCATAATTTGGCCAATTCACACTCTACCTGTTCTATTATGTTCAGTTCTAGATATCATTTTCAGAAAGACATTAATAATTTGAATCAAGTCCATAGGAGGGCACCTAGAATAGTTAGGGTACTTGCAATTTTTTCATACACTATGTGGAAAGAAATGTTTATCCCTAGATGGCAGAACCCTAGAAGTATTTCTTAGCACTTTGAGCTCTCCCTAAAAAGAATAGTGTAATTCTTCAGTAGGTTCCTTGTCATTGCAATATTCAAGGTTGACTTGACAACCACATGGCTGAAAGTGGCCAGAGGCCCTTGTGACTGAGATCCAAATGGGCATCACAGGTGAAATGCTTTACTTTTCTACTTTTGCTACCTGAGGAGGCAACAGCCCACTTATCACTGAAGATGATCTCACCTATTAGAACACATTCATAATCTGGGTCCATGGACTTTTTTCATAGACATTTCAATAACTGTATTTTTATAGAATTTCTTTGTATTCCTATGTGTTTTATTTAAAAAACATTTATTTATTTAATTTTATTTTAAATGTTTTTAAAACAATTTACTTTATTTAAGAACATTTATTTATTTAAAAATACACAAAAAAAGATTAAGGACTCCTGGTCTAGAGGTAAGATTGTAGTGAAAAGAATCTTGGAGTCAATCAATCAACTAACATTTATAAAGAGCCCACTAAGTGCTCAGCACTGGGGATACAAAGACAACAAGGTTTTCCCTATGGGGTGTTTCCCTGGAGCCAACCACACTGGATTTTCTTCTCCCTAAAGACCCCCCCCCAAAAAAAGGTAAAGTCAGTTTGAGAGGTAGCATGGATAAATGGATAGAGATTAGGAGACTGTCAGAAAGACATAGTTTGAGTCCTGCCTCTAACACATATTAGCTGTGTGACTCCTGGCAGGTCACAACATCTAAGGGCTCCTTTGACATCTCTATGACAATAAATAGCAGAATAGTTGCTGATTTGCATTGGAGAGTTCTTTTACCAAGGAAGGCCCTCTACCAATACAATTCCATGTACTGATAAAAAAAAAAAATAGGTTTACATGAATCTCAAGGTATTCCAAAAGGAAGAAAAGAAGTCAAATAAGAGTAGCCTGAGTCAGGGATCTCTGTAGCCAGTAGGGAGATATAATCCTAGCTCTTTACTTGGCATTAGTCAGTATTAACGCCCCAGTTGTATGAATGTGGACTTTAGACCATCATTTTTTTTTAAATCTAAAGCCTTTTTACTTCATTTTCTGCCTCTTTAAGTCACTGCTCAGAAAGCAGGGCCCTCCAAAGTCTTGGGCCTGGGGCAACCCCCTAATCTGTCATACTTTGGTAATGGCTCTTGGATTTCCTCTGAATCCCTTTATCTTATCTATTCTCAGCCCATTCTACAGGAGAGGAGCCCTTTCAGAAAATGAGGAACAGGAAGGGTATAATGGTGAGAATGTAAAACATAGAACCAGGAAGACCTGGGTTCAAATCCTAGCTCCATGACTTGGGGAAAGTCACTGGGACTTGGTTTCCTCACCCACAAAATAAGGAATTTGGGCCACATAACCTCTAAGGTCCTGTCCAGGTTCAAATCCATGATACTATAATATAAACATCTGTTCAGACTGGGACAAACCAGGTGTTGAGTCAGAACAGGCTTCCAGGCTCTGAGATAGCCTTTAGTTGAGACTTCCTTGGTGGTGGGAGCAGTTGATCAGCATGACATTTAGTAAATCACAGTTCCCAGGGGGAGGGAGTTAGCAAGAATAAAGGTCATATGTTGAGCAGAAATAGGATGGGGCAGGTTAAATGGGACCCACTCACTATATGAGTGTAGAGGACCTTCCTACAGAGGGAGGCAGGAAAAGCTTAAAGCATACATAATAGACCTGGTCCTTATCTTCAAAGAGACTGCAGTTTGTAGGCAGAGGACAGAAGAAGCCAGGACTCTATCCTCCTCCCTCCAGCTATTAGAGTTTAAAGAAAGACAACATAGTTCTGGCCAAGTGATAAATTGAGTAATGTAGAAATCAGTCTTATAGGAGTTGGAGAGGGGAATAACTCTCCAGACCATTTAAGTGTGCTGAAAACTCATGTTAAAAAGCAGCCATTTGACCTAGAGATTGTATGAGTCAGATCTAACAATGTTTATACTCCCCCTTTTAACTCGGTTTTTGAGGCAGCTAGGTGGTGCAGTGGATAGAGCCCTGGGCCTGGAGCCAATAAAACCTGAGTTCAAATACAATCTCATATACTACCTAGCTACATGACTCCATCTGTGTGCCAGTTTCCTCAACTATAGAATGAGGATAATAATAGAAACTATCTCTCAGGGTTGTTGTGAGGATTAAATGAGATAATGTTTATAAAATGCTTTGCATAGTCCCTGGCAGAGTAGCTGCTTAATAATAAGTATAATAAAAATAAGCATTAACAAATGCTTATTTCTTTTTTCCTGACCCTACCATTGAATTCAAACTGTTCTCTCCTGAGTTACAAATGATTACTCTTTATTTCAGTTTAAATATTTTTTATATTACCTTCACTTCTTAATATATGCCTCTTTTCTCCTTTACCCCAATGAGCTATGACTTGTCAAGAAAAACAACAACATAGGTGGCACAGTGGATAGAGAACAGGCCCTGGAGTCAGGAGAATCTGAGTTCAAATCTGGCCTCAGACACTTGACACTTACTAGCTGTGTGACCTTGACAAGTCACTGAACCCCACTGCCTAGCAAAAAAAAAAAAACAACCCAAAAAACTAAACAAAAAACAACAAAGAGAATAAACAATGGAATAGAACAAAACTGGTGAATGCATCAAGCACCCGTGATAGTTTATACAATATTCCCCATTTAGAGTTCCCCACTTTCACAAAAAATGAGGTAGGTGTATTTTGCCATTTATTCTACTAGACCTATCTTAGTCATTATACTTACAACAGTTTTGGTTCTGTGTTCTTTCCATTTACATTTCTGTATTCATTAGATATATTATCTTTCTTATTGTGTTTATTTTATTCTGTACCAGTTCATATGTCTTTTCATGCTCCTGAGAATTCCTCATATTCATAGTTTCTTATGCTACAGTAATATTCCATTACAATAATGTAACCTGATTTGTTTAAAGGATGTCTATTTGGTTTTCAATTCTTTGCTGCTACAAAGCATGATATTATTAATACTTTATGGGACTTATTTTCCTGTCTTTGATCTCCTTGAGGTAAATGCTTAGCAGTGGTATTTCCAAATTAAAGGGTATGGGCATTTTAGTCAATTAATTTTTTTTAAAATCATAATTATAAATTTCTTTTCAGAGTGTTTGGACCAACTTCCTAGCTCTACCAGTAGCATGCCTATCTTTCTACAGTCCCTCCAACACTGAGTATTTCCATCTTCTGTCATTCTTACCAAATTGCTTGGTGTGAGTTGAAACTTAAGAATTTGATTTGTTTCTCTATTTGTTAGTGATTTGATTCTGCCATGGTTCGTTTTCTTAGTCTATATTTCACTCTCTTCAATTCTTATTAATTTCTATGCAGTTAACTCTAAACTCTATATATCCAGTCCCAATCTCTCCTATTAACTTCAATCCCCAATTATTAACTCTAGATGAAAATTTAGTATGAACTATATGAACTATATAAAATACTTCTCTCCCTGAGTTGTCCCTCATGCAGGCTTTCTCCTCTTCATATCCAGGTCCAGATTGCCTTATAGTGCAGCTTTCTTGTTTCCAACTTAGTCAATTTACTATTTTCCCCTTCCCTTCCCTTCCCTTCCCTTCCCTTCCCTTCCCTTCCCTTCCCTTCCCTTCCCTTCCCTTCCCTTCCCTTCCCTTCCCTTCCCTTCCCTTCCCTTCCCTTCCCTTCCCTTCCCTTCCCTTCCCTTCCCTTCCCTTCCCTTCATTTTCCCTCATTTTCCACTCTCTAATTCATTTTCAGTATCATCTCAAGACCTTTTACTACAATATGGTTCAATTCTCCTTCACACCAGAACTCTATTTTTTTGTTTCTTCAGACACTGCCTTACTGGTTTGGATATTGCAATTCCCTTGTGTGTAGCCTTCTCCCCAATATATCTGTAGTCATTAGGATCCATTGGCCTGAATATACTTCTGGAGTGCCTGTGTAAAGACAAGTGAGATTGCCAACTGCATTTTATGGCACTCAAGGAAAGAGATGCTAATGTCATAGAAGGCTATCTTCTCACGGTGGGGAAACTCTGCTGACATTTTTAATCAACTACTCTAACACTTTCATGAACTCTATGTCATGACTTGGAAGAATATTTTCAAAAGTAAGTCAATGACGTAAAAAAAAAGAGAAAAGATGGAGACACATTTGGTAACAGCTAAGCAGGGCAAGACCTTTTTTATTTCTTCAGGATTAAGCCACCATCCTTGTTCTCTGTGAGCTTCAGAGTTCTTTTTGAGGAGACCTGTGAAAGATGAAGATGGGAACCAAGGAAGTAATAGTTCTTCTGGAACACAGGATAGGAATAGAGAAAGCAGTAGCCAAGATAGGGTGCTGAATTCTCCTGCTCTCTCCTCCCTGTTGTTATCTCCACAGGTGGCCTCAGGAATTTTTTTTCTTGGCCTGAGGAAGAGATATAATTACCACTTTATAGGTTTTCCAGGTAACATGGCAGTGGGGAATGGAGCTGAAGGAAGAGATGTGTTGTAGAAGGGGAAGCTCAGAATGTGGAAATACTTCAGTGGTGTCTCTGTAGGAGAACAGGCTCTTGTTCGAGTTCCCTGATTCTAGCCCACCCCATATTAAAGTTTCAATATGAATTTCCCACTCTCACCAATCCCATTTGTAAGTTAAAAAAATTCAAGTCATTTTAGGGGTAGTCTCTGGAAGTTTTGGGGATTATTTCCCTCCTCTCTCTCTCTCTTCTTCTACCCTTAGAAAACCAAGAAAACTCCCAAGGGCTGCTTCTAGATAACAGATCTGTCTCATTTGCCTTCCAACCTTTTCATGCCCTTACCATAGTTCTCCATAGCAGAGCACTGACCAGCAGGCCATACAGCATGGCTTTCCCCAGCAGGATCTCATAGAAAAAGGTGGCAGACTGGATACTTTGTTGATAGGACTCTGTGAGGATTGAAGCCCCATATCTATAAGAAAGCATCTCTAGCCTTGCTAGTCCCATATTCCTACCACTTGATAGGGCAAGAAGGACTTGTTATACATATATGTAGCTGTTGATATATTTCCTCCCCCATTAGATTATAAACTTCTCAAGGGCAGGGACTGACCTTTACCTTTTTTTGGATCCTAAGCACTTAGCACAGCCTGTAGTCATTGCTTAATAAATATTCATTGACTAACTGCCTAGCTGACCTAGGCTATGGTTATTGGCACGAGAGTATGAGACAGGAAGAAAAGAAAGTTTCGCTTACCAGAGCTAACACCACAATCTGAAAGAGAAAATTGAGGACATATGTGAGAAGCCTGGAATTTCCCAGGGAGATTGTCCTTTAGGTAGGCCACATAGGTTAGTATAAGCTTATAGGCCTAGGGCCCAAAATAAATCATGAAACAGGTATTCATAATTCAAATAAAATATAAATTCTGGTATATTCTGACTTAACCCTGGTCCTGTGTTTCTCCCCTTAACATCATCATTTAAAAAAAATCCCCTGTGATCTTGAGCGAATGGAAGGATGCAAGGTCAGTTGGACACTGCGAATTGCTGAGCTGCACAGGCTGATAGGTTGGAGGGAGGCCCTCTGTAAGACTCTAATTGTGACTAAGCAGGAAGGCTGCACCTGGGTTGATATCTTATTCACCCAAAAAGTGGCCTTGGTTACTTCCAGGGAAATAATTCTTCCCCTCTCTGAATACATGAAACCTGGGGACATCCTTGGAGACAGACTATTTTGGTTCTCTATCTATTTGATTATCTGTCTTCCCTCTACTCTGTCTTTGACTCTGGATTATCTTCTGTCTTTTCCTGGGCACTCTCTCTGCCAGCTCTCTCTCTCTCTCTCTCTCTCTCTCTCTCTCTCTCTCTCTCTCTCTCTCTCTCTCTCTCTCTCCCTTGGCTTACTTCTCTGGATCTATCTTTTTCAACACCCACACCATTTCTATCTTGGTTCAGCTTATGATGTTCTCACCTGCCTTTCCCCAGATCTGGTCACTGACATTCTGAGTGATGGGTTTGCTCATGTTACTGGTCCAGGGCTCATCCTCTGAGATCCCATGGAACAATACTTGGCAACGGAAACTGTTCTTGGGATTGCGCCAGAAGGGAGCAGAAACCCGGAGGCGGCTGCTCAGTGAGTACTTGGAGAAGTTGCTATTAGGCTGCTCCTTGGAGGGCTGAAGGTCTGTGCTGACCCCAACTTTGGTCTCCTGCCCATTCACCCACCAGCTCAGCTCCACAAGGTCCGGGTAGAAGCCTGTGGCCAGACAGACCAGTGTGGCCTTTCCCTTCTCCTCAATCTCTTCCTCAGATGGCTGAAACACAGTCACCTTTGGGGGAATCACTTTGTTCAGGTCATCTGAAAAATGGAAAGAGGTTGGAACCCAGGACTGGTCACAGAGCTGTCTTCTTAGGGAATCAAAAGGAAAAGAGTATTAGTCTAACATCATTTATACAGTCTAGTATGACCTGTTGACTCTTAGATATCTGAAAATGAAAGACCCTTAGGCCTCTCAAAATCAAAAATAGAACTCATTTTTCCATCTTGCCCTCCCCATTCTTCCCTTCTTCCAAACTTTTCTATTACTATCAAAGTCACCACCATACTTCATGTTACCCCAGGCTTGCTTTCTTTCTTTCTTTCTTTCTTTCTTTCTTTCTTTCTTTCTTTCTTTCTTTCTTTCTTCCTTCCTTCCTTCCTTCCTTCTTCCTTTCCTTTCTTCTTCTTCTTTCTTTCTTTCTTTCTTCTTCTTCTTTCTTTCTTTCTTTCTTTCTCTCTCTCTCTCTCTCTCTCTCTCTCTCTCTTTCTTTCTTTCTTTCTTTCTTTCTTTCTTTCTTTCTTTCTTTCTTTCTTTCTTTCTTTCTTGCAATTGGGGTTAAATGAGTTGCCCAGGGTCACACAGCTATTAAGTGTCAAGTGTTTGGTCTGAGGCCAGATTTTAACTCAGGTCCTCCTGACTTCAGGACTGATACTCTATCCACTGTGCCACCTAGCTGCCCCCAGGAGTCTGATTTCTATGGTACAGTATAAAGAGTGTTGGATCTAGAAATAGATGACCTAGGTTCAAATCCTGCCTATGCAACTTATTACTTTTATGACTGGACAAGTCTCTCTGGACCCCAGTTTCCTCATCTGTAAAATGAGAACATATTTGATGATCTCTAAGATATCCTCCAGGTCTAAATCTAAATTCTATAGTCACACCCTTCAAAGGAACATAATGCCTATATTCAACTTCTGACTGAGATTTAGCCCTCCCGTTGCCCCCCACTACCACCAACCATCCCCTACTATTCTCTTCCACATTTTCCCAGAGTACATTACTTAAAGATTTGCTCCATTCCTCTTTAGGGAATTTCTGTGTACTTACCCCTGGCAGATAGATATCTTGTCTCATGGAAACATAGATTCTGAGGTTTGGAGAGGGAGGATCACTTTCTTCCTCTCTAGGGCTTTCTGCTGAAGCAGTCAGTATTTCTAAACTGAATTGCTCACCTAGGCTTGGTTTTCTAGCATGGAACTCAGTATCCATTGAAGCCAGATGACATTCTGCCCTCAGTCACCTGAAGTTCACAGATACAGGCAACTGTAGGTTCCCTCTTTTCTCTGAGTTGCTCTACTCCCTTTCCCTGCTTTGACCTTGCTGACCTCAGTAGACATTATCTCTTGTCCTCTTAATTAGCTTACTCAGACTGAAGGAGACTCACAGAGACTGTGAGAGACTGAGACAGAGAGGAGATGAAGAAATAGATGACTGACTAGGGTGGCAGATGAGATATACATGGAGGTGGAAAAAGAAACCAAGTCTGAGAAGACAGAGATAGTTACAAAGAAGGAGGCACACATGCAGAATTAAGGGAGGGAATGAGAAAGAAAAAAAAAGAAGAGAAACAGATGGATAGAGGTAAACTCAGCAAGAAACTGAAGCTAATCCAGGGTGTAGGACATGAAAAAAGGGAGCTACACCATAACCTAGAAGTTTTAAAAAGGAGTGCCTGAGGTGAAAAGCCCAGCATTATGGAGGAAAGGCAGACAGAACAGATCAAGAAAATGAGCCAGAGTTGCCTTTGGGAAGGCAGAGAGAACTACAGATTAAGAAGTGCAGAGTTGGTTCAGACCCCATCTTCTCTCTTAGCACCAATTCAAAGAATTGAACAAAGTGAAAAAAAGTTAGATACCCCCCTGATTCGATGTGGGATCCCCATACCTGTCACTACCAGCATGGTTTCATCTCCAAAAGTGAGGGGTGAGTTGTTACACAGCCGCAGACTGCTGCTGTAAAACCAGTGCTAGATCTCTTTCACTTTCTTCCCTCTCTGAAATGAGATCCCATTTGAACTCTGGTGGGAATAGAGATTATTTCCTGGGCTCTGGCTGGACCCACTGTAGACAAGAGCATCTGGCCAGAAGAACATCAAGGATGGAAGGAGAAAGATTTTCAAAGCACACTCTGGAGAAGTCAGTAGAAAGAAGAGAGGGAGAGACACCATGGTGCCTCGTACGTGGGGAGGGACCATGCATAAATATTTGCCAAAGAGAATGGACTTGATAGACATTCAAAAAGAACAGAAAGAGACATATAAAAAAAACTGAGAGGGCAATGGGAAAGTGGGCCACAGGGTCAAAGAGATGCTGAAGGAACAATGTATCCCAGTCTAGAGAAGGAAAATTGCATTGGGTGAGTACCACCCAAGGTTGTACAGAAGCAGTGACAAAAGATCTGCAGAGTGAAACATTTAAAGTCTCCTGTGGAATCAGAGGATGGGAGAAGAAGAAGGCATAAGGTATAGTACCATCCCCTACCACCCTAGACCCCATTCCTTACCCAGGACTCTTAGCTGAGTCCCCTCTCCAAAGTACTGTGGCTGGTTGTTACACATCAAGACAGGATTGTGACAAAACCTAGCACATCTTGAGCAGGGATCTGTCCTATCAAACTATGTCCCTTCTAGATCGTCTAGATAAGGGAGAGGGGCCTAGCTCCCATTTTATCCTTCAAGTAGTCACTTTCCTTTTCGTTGATGACATTCCTCAGTTTCTCATTCTGCCACTGTCAGTCTCTTGGGACCTCAAGCTAACATCCCTCTGCCTGCTGGAATCTATAACGTAAGAGAAACTGCTTTGCTTACCCACAACAAGCAGCCTGGTGCCACTGCCAAAGTACTGTCTTTCATTGTTCACACACCAATAAAACTGGAAGAAAAACTACACATGCCTGCGCTACTCTTCTGAACTCAAGCCTCCTCCTGGGTGGTCCACTACCCAGGCATTAAGGGTATTTTCAATTGGAGGTAAAAATACACTTTTCATTGTTGTTTTTATGTCCATAAAAATACAGTTTGTACGATCCTCATCTTCTCTTATGACTTTGACCCCTGATAATCACTGACATCTTGACATTGTTGAGAAGGAAGCCCATGAAATATTTTCCCCCAAGCATTCTTAAGAACAACAAATTCATAAAGTCATAGACTTAAGATCTCAGAAGCCAACTATTCCAAACTCCTCTTTTGCAACTTGCCAAAAGTTAATAAATAACAGAGTCAGGATTTGAACCCAGTCCCTCTGCCCCCAAATCTGGCTGTCTTCCACTATACCACACTGACTCCAGATTGAATCCTCATCAGTCTGAGAGAAAAGAGAGGAAATTCACTGGGATGACAAGACAATTACTAAGATGATCCCTTCTAGTCTAGGAGTCTGTCTCAAAGCAAGCAGCACCCAGTCCAGTCATTGGCTAAAATCTCTGTAGCTAGAGGCACTCTTTTGCTCCTGATTACAAAAGACAGGCATTTGTATCTGCCTTAGAAAAAGCAAGCAAAAAAAAGAAACCCCCCTACTCTTCATCCCAAGTCCCCCCCCATCTGTTCATATCATGCCCCTCTTCCCAGTATTATAACCTCCCTAATACAGATTTATACTTACCAACAACGACAAGCTGGGTCCCCATGCCAAAGTACTGTGTATTTCCAGTACACAGTCTCTGACCTTCATTTCAAATCTCCCTTGCTTATATCCCACCCAGTGTCTCCAATATAAACTGAACCATGCCTGGGATTCAGAGGGAAGACTTGGCAATATCCATAGGTCTCTAATCTCCCTCTTTGAATGTACACACAGACACACACACACACACACACACACACACACACACACACATTTCCAAGATTAATTCAGGACTTGAGAAAGTTGAGAGAGAGGGGACTCATATTTGTCTTCTGTAAAATTCAAGTTAGGATAGACACATAAAATCTCCCTGCAGAAAATCCATTGGCAGTGGGTATTAATGAAGATATTTCAGGACCTTCCCCTCAAATTTTCCTGAGTCTTAAACACTTCACAGAACTGTGGAATTTCAGAGTTGTAGGGTACCTCAGATGCTGTCCAGTCCAACTCATGTCAGAAAAAGAACCCATATACTAAACAAGTGGTCATCAGCCTTTACGAGAAAATTCCAAGGACAGGAAACCCAACTCATGATGTCCTGAGGCAGCCTCCACTTTGGGGGTAGTTCTCATTTCCAGGACATTTCCCTTTCTAACAGGTTTCCTCTGATTCCCTTAAGGATCAACATAGACTCATTTCTTTTCCCCATCCTAATATAAACTGTTCAAGGCTCAGGTTGAACAAGGAAACTTCTGAAATGTTAAGTTTTCATGAGTCTCATTCTATGGGACACTGAGCCCCTTAGATGAATTAGATAATAGGGGTTATACCTTTTCTCCCTTTCAAAATCCATCTGGTGGTATTTTCTCCATCCCCCTCCAGCCCCACTCAAAGACCCTCAAAATCTTACCTACAACAATAAGCTTGGTCCCTGGTCCAAAGAAAGTTTCATAGTTGGCACACCAGGATACAACAGCTCTAAAAAGGGAGTCTGGGACCAGCCCCACCACAGAATGGCCCACAGGACAAACCAAGAGGTTATCTTACCCAAAACTATGAGTCTGGTGCCTTTTCCAAAGTGAAGCTCTGTGTTTGTCACAGTGATACAGGGCGAGGATGAAAGTTAATCCAGGATCCTTGGACAGAAGGATGGAACCCCCTTATCTGGAGATGGTGAGGAGAGGGACCTCTTTCTATGTTGTACTCCACAAGGGTGGCTCAAAAAATCTCCAAATTCTCCTACTTCTTGGATTTGTCAATAGCTATTATAGTATTAAGAATTTTATTACCAATCTCATCAGAGCCCATCCTTGAGGTGGTCTCCAGGGAAGAAGGGCACTGTTATCCTTTCCTATTGTGCCATATGTAAATATTCCTTCTCTAATGAAAAAGAGAACAGGATGATGTATGTCATGGGAAATGGAGGTGGATCCTTCCAGAGCAGAGACATCATTAATTTCTTCCTCTCTGTGTTTAAGGAACGACCCATTATATAAGCCAAATAATCCACTTGATAGACTCCCCAGATCCCAGGGAGGATTTGAAATGGACTACAGTCACCTTCTCTTCTTCAATTGTGACCTAATAGATGAGATCTTAAGGCTCCCATTCTTTCTTCTGAGGAAGACCGGGTCTCAATTCAGGCTTCATCTAAGGAACTCCATCTGTGACCTGGACAGAGGTATGGGAGACTTTTCTGTGGCATTGCTGAGCTCTCTGGGTTCAACATTGCCACATGTACATGCCCAGGTAGAGGGACCTTGCTCTACATCTTGTGTCCAAGTGTTCTTCAGGTTGGAGTCATCCGCCCTAGGTTAGAAGTGAGGACAGCTTAGGTGCAGATGTATTTGTTCTCCCTAGGGAGGATTTTGTAAAGGCACACCACAGGGTTGCATCACCGTGGCTCCCTGTCCCCACAATGTTATAGTCTTGTACATAAACAGCTCCTCCCTCAGGGCCAACCCTCAGTGCTAGGAAGAAACCACAGAAACAGCTGCTTCTGTGCTCATGTGTGTAGAGGTGGCATTGCAAGTGAATATAAATATATTGGAGTATGTGGGCTGGGCCAGGGAGCCCCTTCCTCCCTTTTGCTGTCATTCATGGTATACTCTCAGTAGTGCTGAGCACTCTGTTGGGCTCCCTACAGAGGACACTGGCTTTTCAATAAGTCTTTTGCTCCTCCCTCTCCCCTCTCCCCTCCCCCTTCCACCTCCAGATTCTCTGGGTTCCTGAGCTTCAGGAGAGACTCTATCTTTTCTCTCTGTCACACAAGTATGTAGAAGGTTCATAAACTCTACTTTGGATCTGGACGCTCAAACACCCAAGCTGTGGACAGTGAAAAATCCAATGGATTCAGAGTCAGAGAAGTCAACTCTACTACTTCATATGAGTGACCCTGGTCATTGTATCTCTACCAGCTGAGGGAGTTGGATTACATTTCTTAGGCCCCTTCCAAACTTATATTCTATGATCCTTTGACTTTTTTTTTCCTCTAGGAAACAGCAATGCCCCATATTCAGGCCCCAAAGAAGGATAATGAGGAGGTCCTTGGACAATTGCTTTCAAGCTACTTCAATAGGACATTTGGTTTCCCCAGGCCCAACTCAAGCAGGGTCTTGTAGCCTAAGAACCCAGTGAGCTGTGGTCCTGATTGTGTCTCACAGAGGTTGGATGGGGGCTGGTGAGATATTATAAACAGAGGCCAGTTACCTGGATGCTTACTTTCCTATTTCTCTTTGTACTCTAGTAGTCCTATTTTCTGGGTTATAGTCACAGGGCTTACACGATGAAAAGAATTACCACAAGGGGCAGGTAGGAATAGCATATGCCATAGATGTGGAGAACTGGTGGAGTCAGTCAATGAATATGCAATTAAGCATTTAGGATGTAACACACTGTGTTGAGGATATACTGGGGATACAAAGAAAGATAAAATATAATCCTTGCTCATAAGCCAACATGCAAACAACCATGAACAAACAAACTATATGCAGAATCAATTTGGAGATAATCAACAGAGAGAAGGCTCTAGAATTAACAGGCATGGTGTAAGGCTTCCTGTAGAAGGTGAGATTTTAGCTGGGACTTGAAGGAAACCTCAAGGCCAGGAGGTAGAGAGAGGAGGGAGAGCATTTCAGATGTAGGGAACAGACAGTGAAAATGCCTGGAGTAGGGAGATGGGGCGCTGTCCAGGAACAGCAGGGGAGCCAGTTTCTGTAGATTGCAGACTGAAAGGTGGGTGTGTGTGTGTGTGTGTGTGTGTGTGTGTGAAGGTTTAAAAATGGAAAGTGGAAATGGAGGGCAAGTTATGAAGGACTTTGAATGCAGGACAGAGGATTTTATATTTGACCCTGGATGTGACAGAGAACCACTGGAGATGATTGAATGTGAGTGGGGCTAGAGTCAGAATGAGTGAGTGACATGATTAGAGATAAAATCAATGGAACTTGACAACTGATTGCCTTTGGAAGAAGGACAGTGGGGAAAAGGAAATACTCTTAGTTATCGAGCCTGAGGGACTAGGATTCTAGATAATGACACCATTAAGAGAAGTAAGAAAGTTAGGAGGAGTGATAGGTTTGTGGAATAAGATGATAAATTCTAATTTGGACACATTGAGTTTGAGATTGACCATAATCATTCAAGTGGAGCTATCATAGGCAGTGGAAAGGGGGAACTAGAGTTCAGGGACAGCGTCAGGACTGTATACATATAGATCTAGGCATCATCTGAAGGTTGCTAAAGGATGAAACATAGAGAAAGAAAGGGAACCAAAGCTATAGTCTGGAGGGTGCTCATATTTAGGAGTCACGAAAAAAAAATAAATGAACCTTTAGAGAAGACAGTGAAGGAATTGTAGGAGAGATAAGAGAAGAACAAGGAGAGAGATAAAAGAAACAAAGAGAGCCCCCCAAGCACAGGGATTTAAGTTCAATTGTTTTAATAAAGTGCCTTGTTAGCAGTTTACCTAAATTATGAGTTACTATATTTTGAAGGATGGATAAGCATCATTTAAAAGTTGAAGGAAAATATAATTTATGAATCAGCATACATAAGTGTATGGGGAAATGATGTACATGTCTGATGATTCTCAGATCTACTTACCTAATTCTAATGTCTGCTGACCTTCAACCTCACATCTCTACCTGCCTTTCAGACATGTCAAACTGTATGACTTGAAGGCATCTTAAACTCAACATGTCTAAAACAGAACTCATTATATTTCTCCCCAAAGTCTCTCTTTTTCTGAACTTTCCTTTGAGGACACAATCCTCCTAGTCCCTCAGGCTTGCAACCTAGGTATCATCCTTGATGTCTTACTCTCTCTCTCTCTCTCTCACCCTTCATATCCAAACCTGTGCAAAGGATTGTTGACTTTCCATTCATAACATCTCTCATATATGTGCCCTTCTCTCCTCTGATAGTGCACCACTTTGGCACAGGCTATTATCACCTCATGCCTGAACTATTGCAATACCCAGCTAGTTGGTCTCCTTGCCTCAAGTCTCTCCCCACTCCAATCCATCTTCCACTCAGCTGTCAAAATAATCTTCCTTTCTACAATTTCTACTCTTTTTAAAATCCAATTCACCAGTCGTCTATTACTATATGTGGTCTTTCCCTTTAGAATATAAGCCCTTTGAGGGCAGCAAGTATTTGTTTTTTGTCTTTGTAAAGTAGACATGTAATAAATGTTTGTTGATTGATAGTAGCTGGGTACTGCAAAATTAGTAATATACAAAGCTTACATTCTACTGAGAGGAAACAACTGGCACAAAGGTAAGTCTCAACAAAAAAGTATTTTTATATACAAAGAAGAAAACAAAGAGAGAATTGTTCAGGGAACTATGGATCTCTATTACAAATAGTTTTTTTTTTTTAAGGCATACATTAATTTTAATAGGGTGAGAACACCAACTCTATCCCACATGTCTATATCTTCCCCTGGATTTCCTTCTTCTATCTTTTGTGTATTTGTATAATATTTCATTGAATATTTTAATTTTCTTCTTTTTTTACCACTGAATAACCACATTCACATCCTCTCAACAATTCCATCCCACCACAAAATAAGCTCTCCTTTGAACAAATAAATATAGTTAAATAAAACAAATTCACATATTGGTTGCATCTAAAAACATATCTCATTTTGTGCCTACAGACTATTAACTCTTTTACAAAAGGGAGGAAGCATGATTCATCATCTGTCTTCTAGAATATGGCTGGTCTTTGAAATTATCAGGGTTCTTAAGTCTTTTAAGGTTGTTTGTCTTTATAGTATTGTGGTCATTATATATAAAGTGTTCTCCTGGTTCTGCTCACCTTTGTATCAATTAATATAAATTTCCCCATATCTGTCTGAATCCCCTTTCATCATTTCTTGTGGCACGATAATATTGCGTTGTATTTATATCCTGCATTTTATTTAGCCATGCCCCATTTGATATATAACCTTTAATTCTCCCCTCCTTTTTTTTTTTTTTTACTATTTAAAAAAGAGCTGCTATAAATATTTTTATGGTATGGATATTTTTCCTCAACTATTAATTTCTTTGAATACAGGATGAGCAGGGGTATCCCTGAATCAAAGGGTCTGCACAATTCAGTGACTTTTTGGGTACAAATCCAAATTGCTTTTCAGAATTGGATCAATTTATAGCTCCACCAACAGAGATTTAGTATGCCACCTCATTCCCTAAAATAATTGTAATTTTCCTTTTTGGTCATTTTTGCCAGACTAATGGTATGAGGTAGAAGTATAGAATTGTTTTAATTTGCATTTCCTCTTTTAGTAGTGATTTGGACTATTCATTTCCACATAGTTATTAGCAACATTTTTCTCTTCTCTTGAGAACTGTCGGCTCATATTCTTTGACCACATCTACTGCTATTAAATTTGTAAAACAGATTACTGTTAAAAGCCTAATTGTGGGAAACATAAATTTTCTGTTTTTCAGACCTAATAATATGAAATCATGCAACCATTTTGAAAACAAGATCATTTGTCTTTATCAGTGTTTCTAATTGTTCAATCAAATTGGGGGAGTCCTGAGGATGAACTTTTGAGGTCTTATAACTGGAGGGGGTATAAGAATGTGTGAATAACGTTAAGTTGAAGGGCAAAATCAGAAACAAAATATAATTCTTCCCTGAGGGAAAATAGCTAGATGAATCACGATATTCCTGTTCCCAGGTGTAATGTAGTTATAGGAAAAAAAAAGCCTGTGTAAGTGGCGAGCCACTCTTAGTGTGATGCTCCTTAAAAAAGATATCCCTGAGGCAATACTAGTGGAGCTTAATGAAATAAAAAAAATAATAACAGAGCCATAGCTTCACCATCAGATTTGTCCATAGCTCCCATATTCCAAAGTAAGAGGGTCAAGGAAGTAGGAGTAAATGTTTTCGTATCTATTCAAGACAATTGAATTTCAGATTTTGTTCCATCGATTCAATACAAATGAATCATAGGTTTAGGTTCCAGAGATGATACACCTACCTGTAAATAAACAGTAAATATTATTACTAGGAGTATAACTTGTTCAGAGGGAACCATGAGCTTCTAAGTGGATGCATCCCCTGGGCATCTTCTCAGCTAAGTGGCACAATAGATAAAGCAACAGATTTGGAGTCAGAAAGAGTTTAGCTCAAATATTATGAGTACCTTGCTTAGGGGAAGACTTTCCTAATCACTAGCTAAAAGAGTGAACTGAAAAAGCTGATGGATTAGAACAGTAACACCTCCTTGCAAAGAAGAGACTTTCTAACCACAGAACCCCCAGTGGAGAGCAGAATGAGTAGCAGGTGTCCCTAAAGACTGCACCTCAGTTGAAGACTACAGATAAAGTATGTAGAGAAGTTGAAAGAAATTACCAGAGAAAAAAAAGTTATAGCTCTCCCTTCTTAGAAAGAGGCTTATTATTAACTACAACATCCCCAGTGGGTGATAGGGTGTTATAAGTAATCTTGAAAATATCTGAAGATCATAGAGAGCAGACATGTGATGCCCCATAGTGGACAGCAGAAAGAAACTATTTGTGCAGAGCAAGCCCAGCACTAAGAAACAGAACGATATCATCAGAAGACACAGATAGCTCTGTCAGGCCAGAAGGGTGAGTTGCCTCTCTCCATCTATACCATAGTTATATATGCTTCTGATGTTTGTATGCACCACATGTGATTCCCATTCATATCTATCTCCTCTTCCCACTGAATAGGCATGTGTTTATGAAAGAATCACTTCAAGGTTATGGGGAAAATGTTTTCATGTTATTTTCTTCATATGCTATTTTATTAAGTGTCTGCTTTTAACTATAATGTGTCATACAACTCATTAATAAAGATGGAAATATTAGAAAGGGCTCATTATACCTATGTTTTAGGGGGGATTTTTACCCACAAAATACCTAGAATATGGGTCAGCTTTCTGGGGCTCTGTGGGTGAGGGGTCATCTAAATGTGACCCTAATCTTGTGCCTTCTTTACAGTTATACCAGAAAACTAGCAACATTTTGATCATTCATTATCATAAAGTTATCATATGTTCTTCTCAAGAAAAAGATTTACTATAAAGACATATCTTAAATGGCATAGCACCACTATTTGGTTGTATTGTCTCTTTAATTTAAGGCAGAATTTATTCCAACATTATCAGTTGTTGAGGTGGGATTTATGATTTTTCGAAGGGGTGCAGTGAGGTATGACATTCTGTTCAACTTCCAAATTCTACGATTAGCTTAAACTGAATAACTTCATACTAGGATCATCCAAAGGTGGTGGTGGTGGTGGCAGGGAGTATTTAGAGCTTGGGAACTGACAGCATTCACATATGTATGCAGCAGGGGGAAACCTTTCCCCTTTTATCAGTCTGTGGAGTGTGTCCTTCCTTCTGTGGCCACATGAGGGAGTAAGAAAGATGAGAAATAAGACCTAAGGCCATTACTGCTGAGGCGTTCAGCTAGAAGTTGGATCACTACTTCTTGGGAAGATCACAGAGGAGATTCATACTTCAGATTGGGGATTAGATAAGATGGTTTATGAGGTTCATTTCAATTCTCAGCTTTTAGGATTCTGTGAGGAGGTGAAATCTGTGACCAGAACCTGGGTCTGATTAGAGAGAAGTAATGTGGGAACTTTAGCCCACAGTCAAGAAAAAGTAAAATATGAGACCTCAAAGATTGAGTAGATGAAGAAGAGAAAGAATTTGCTATTCTTTGAATCATTTCAAATAGGAGTTTAATATTGCCCAGGAAGGAGAGCCAAGCATGCACCCCGATAGTGGGGAATCCATGAATATCTAGGTAATGTAGGTCTCCTCCTGTTTGCAAATGACATCACAGTAAGAACCTGTGGGTCTCATCTTCAGCTCTTCTTTAATATCACTTGACCAACAAATTAGTAGGCTTTCATAATGGTTAAGTCACTAATCTAGGCCCCACAAGGAACATAAGGAAGTATTACTCAAAATACATACAGGCAACAAAAGTTAAATAATCATATAAATAAGATATATATATGGAAAGGACAATATATGGTTAATGTTAAATGAATAGTACTTTGTGTAATTTGTGTGGGACTATACTTCTCCAGTCTGACTGATAGAATAATATATATATATATATATATATATATATATATATATATATATATATATATATATATATATATATATATATATATATATATATATATATATACATATATATACACACACACAAATATAAACATATATTTGTATATATAAAGAGAGAGAGAATAGTAAGGTGGCTGGTGCTAGTCTCCTTCTGATGTCACAGGTAGGATTGATATAGGCCAATAGTCTGTTATGCATGGGAATAATATCTGGCGTACTCTAAAATTTGACTTACAAGCCCAGGCTCCTTGTAATTTGCAGAAGATATAGGAACATAGGAGAAGTTAAAAAATGAGTTACCGCATCACAGTTAAATTTAAACATTTGATCAAATGGATACAAGTGAAAAGAGCTAGAGAGGATTCCAGGAAGATGGTGGAGTAGGTCAGAAAATTCCAAGCTCTCAAGATTTTCCCTCACAAAAGAGATAAAATAGCACCTCAGGGTGAACATTAAGCAGCAAAAATAAATAAGACTAGGGGCAAAATAAGGGTCCTCTCCAGACAATCAGACAATCTGAGAAGATCTGAAGAAAAATCCCAGGATCAGGTTTGAACCCTGTGAATAGTAAATGCTCCCAGGTTAAGACTACTTAACAAGTGGCAAACCTTAGGCTTAGCTGGGTTGGGAGGCTGCCTCGGCCCCAGCCGAAGGAATTTTTATGCCTGGGACAGTGAGGGGAGTTGGGCCTTTGAGCCAGGGAAGATTGAGGGAGTCTCTGCTGACAAGGAAGGCCAGACACAGCTGTGCCACAGAGGCTGGGAGCAAGAAGGAGCCAGCACATGCCTGGTGAGTGCAGAAGCAGCGGGGCTGGGACACCACTGGCTGTGGGCACTTGCAGGAGGCTGGAGTTCCTGGTTTCAGTTCCAGACCCTAGGGGAGAAATGAAGGAGGATTTGAGGCCAGAGGCTCCATCACCCAGACCCCAGGACTACAGGTGATTACAAAAACTAAGATACTACAAAAAATGCACAGGCAAAGAAGAAAGAATCCAACTATAGAGAGTTACTATGGGAATAGAGAAGACCAGGGTTCATCCTCAGAGGAAGATACTAAAGTAAAGAAACCCCCTTCTACTCCAAAGAGTAACAACAAATAGTCACCTGTCCAAAATGAATTCATAAAGGAACTTTAAAAAGATTTTAAAAATCAAATGAGAGACATTGAGGAAAAACTAAAAAAAAAAGAATAATCAAAGAAAAATAAGAAGATTATGAAAAGAAAGTCAATGAATTAGAAAAGGAGATCCATAATCTTAAGGAAAAAATGACTCTTTGAAAATCAGAATTGGGTAAGGGGAAGCCAGTGAAGTTATAAGAGATCAAGAAATAATAAAACAAAATATAAAGAATGAAAACATAGAAGAGAACGTGAAACATATGACAAGAAAAGCAACTAATCTGGAGAACAGATCAAGAAGAGAAAACATAAGAATAATCAGACTACCTAAAAAAAATCTTGTTACAATAATATAAGAAATAATTAAAGAAAGCTGTCCTGAAGCATTAGAACAAGAGGGGAAAATAGAAATAGAAAAAAATCCGCCAATCACTACCTGAAAGAGATCCTATGAGGAAAACCCACAGGAATATTATAGTTAAATTCTGAACCCCCCAACTCAAGAATAAATTTATTACAAACAGCAAGAAAAAAGCAATTTAATATGGCAGTGCCACAATTAGAATCACACAAGATCTTGCAGCAGTGACACCAAAAGACCACAGGTCTTGGAACACTATATATTGAAAAGCAAAAGAGCTGGGGTTCTGGCTGAAAATATAATACCCAGCAAAGCTAAGCATAATCCTTAATGAAAAAAAGAATTAGACATTTAATGAATTGTCATATTCTCAAGGCTTTGATAAAAAAAACAAAAACCTGAACTTAATATAAGATTTGACATACAAAAGTTAAGATAAATATAAGATATTGGATAACCTTTGCTCATATCTAGCCCTGGGATGCCTGTCCTATTCTTCACCATTTTTTCATGTATTTATTTATATAATTTAGCACTCACATTTGCAATTTTTTTTTTTACTCGCGCACTAAAAGGTATCCAGGCCTTGTGACTTAGGTACCTGGTGCACGTTTACTAACTCCTCACTTATCTAGGATTAAATTCACTTTTCAGTCTGAAGATTATTCTCCTTTATAGAGAAAATATAAACAAAATAGCAAATGAGTAGCTCTGTCTTCTCTCCTTTGACCACTGTAATGGTACCATCTATCCTTTCTTTGATCTTCCATTTTAATCCAATGAAGATTAAACTCCACATGTGTACACATACACACAAGCACACACACATATAAACACACATACACACATACATACAAACCCTCCTATACCCATCTTGGCCTCAGTTCATTCTGGACTTTAGTTCTGATACCACTTAGATAGGAATATGTGATTCTTCTCTCTTTATCCTCATGGACCTTTCCATGCTTTCTTCTTCTCTATATGTCATTTAAAAATTTAAGTTAGATAGTAAATTCCTTGTATATCTTTTAGTCTCTTTAGACAGCCTCCTTTTTTCTTAGTCATTAGAATTACATTTTGGCAGAGGCACATAGGTAGGGATTGAGCCTTGAGTGACATGTCCTAGACAAAAGAGTTTAAGATATAAGAGTAATAGGTGGAATGCTGGATAATGGAAAGCCATCTGCCTCATGGTCGGTGTCTACTAACAAAGGTAACCTGGAAAGAAATACAAGGCTCTCAAAAATAAAATTATGAAAACAAAAAAACATATAGTTCTGATGAGTAAGAAAAGGGAAGACTGAGCAAAGAGACAAACAGATATAAAATGAATTCATCATCCAATTTACATTTTAAAAGACATTATATAGAAGGATAAGGCAAGGATAACTCATTGAAGATAAAGAGAGAAGAATCATGTATTACTACAAGAGAGCTAAATCAGGAGAGCTAAAGCCCAGAACGGACTGAGACAAAGGTTGTGTGTGTGTGTATGTGTGTGTGTGTGTGTGTGTGTGTGTGTGCGCGCACACATGCACACTCACATGTTCAGGTATTGGTTTAAATTATATTGGATGAACTAGGAAGATTAAAGAAAGGATAGATGGGATAATCAGGGTGGTCAAAGGAAAGAAAATTACTCAATCCCACTTTTGTTTATGTTACTCTATAAAGAAGAACAATCTTAATGCTGAATAAGAGAGTAAAGTGAATCCCTTCCAACTCTTAAATTCTATAATTGTGTGATTCTATGCCAGATTTCAGGGATCATCCCTATAAAATAATAATGAGAATAATAAGAATATAGCCATATTTCTGTTTAATGTTTTAGTTTTTCAAAGCAATTTTACCAAAGTTATTTCATTTGAACCTTTAAAAATACCATATCATAGGCAGGGAAAATGTTATTATACCTTTTCATAGATCAGGAAATTAGTGCTCAGTAAGGCTTTGACTTGCCCACACAGATAGGATGTGCAAATGTAGGGTTGTGGCCCAAG